AACCTAAAAGAAGATGATAAATCCTAATTCCCCAGCCCCCCCCCCCCTTCTTTTAAAAAGAATTCGACCCTCCAATGAAAGTAGGCTTATTGATAAACAAACTTTATAATTGCACACGTTAATACCATTAGGAGATGTTAATACCATTAGGAGATGTTAATACCATTAGGAGATGTTAATACCATTAGGAGATGTTAATACCATTAGGAGATGTTAATACCATTAGGAGATGGGGCAAAGATGGTTAACGTTGATATTTCCATTGTCCCTCCAATGAATGAATTCCTTTTAATGTCCTGGTATTTTGCATTCAGGTCACGACCATCCTACAATGACACAGTGAATGTACGCAATCAACGGTTCTCAAATTGATCAATCAGTTCATTAAAAAAACAAAAAAAAAAAACAACGCCACCAGTCTTATGCTCGAGTGGTATGTAAATGTAGGATTTTTTGTGGACCCGAGTTTGAACCCTACCCACGGGTGTCCCTCTCCGTCCTGCAGGAGGTTAGGGCTAGGACGTAATAATTGTCCTTGCTGAAGGAACGCCCGAAACACACACACACAAATCAACAGTGTGTTATGGAAGGTGTGTGTGTGTGTTTCTATGGTGATGATGAGAAGAAGTTAGCGATTGGTTGGTGGCTATGCAGTGCGACTGATACAAGACAAGAGGCACTGTCGTACGCAGTCTTGGGTGAACCAGGATGCCAGAGTGAGATGACTTGCTTTTTGTAGTGAGTTAGATTTTGTTTACAATACCATTTTATAGTATTACTTAAGTCTACTAGATTTATTTCATCTCAAGTGGAATCTATATATATAATTATCTTAATGGCTCAACAGTTTGGACACCAAGAAGCAAAGGAAAGATCACTCTTTTATTTCTAAAAGTCGGACTAGAGTTACCCCACGTAACTTTAGTGATGAAAAAAAAGAGGGGGGATAACAAGAAGCCTAATCTACTCTGTAATCACCCGTCACTAAATAGCAGGGCCGGACTTTGGGTAGGGATACATATAATAAGTGAAAATTAAGAGTTTGTATTAGAAAAAAAATTCGACTTTGCATTTTATTCATTCTTTACTACGTACAGAATTACTTTGCGTGAAGCGAAGTCATACAGTATATCACAAGAATTCTGTTTTCTACAAGAATTACCAAATGTTTCAATCAATCTTCGAGAATTGCTAACCTGCTGTGATTTTCCATTAGTTTGAGGCGCGAGAAGCTTCTTTCACCAGATTCCACAATTACGTGCATTTCATAATACCGTTTTTTTTATCGCGCGAGGATTTGCGTTTTCCATATTGAATAATACCTCAAAATGACAATTTTTTGTCTATATATTTCAATAGATTTGTATGAGTTTTCTAAAGATTTTAATAATTTCTAGAGATTTCCATGACTTTTTCGTATACTTTGCAATTTCAGGAGATTTCTGGAGCTCCTGGTGAATCATGAGCCCGCGGAAAATCTGCTACAAGTTATAAAATGGTTTAATTTAATAATTTACACCTAGAATTAGCACGGGTCCTATAAAAGTGAGGGGCCCACTGCGGTCGCATTGGTAGCAGTGGCCTAAGGCCGGCCCTGCAAAATAGCGGCGTATGCTACGCCGTGGGTCGACTAGTTTATCTATATTGCTATAAAAATTATATTTAGTTTTGTTCACAAAGAAGTTATTCAACTGATTTCAAGTTTATAAATTAAGATATAATACGCTCTACAGCGGTTTAGTTGTCTACCAGCAGTTTGGTGCTACAGGTCAACGACTGTCCACACTAAATATGAAGCAATCGCTCCCCCCCCCCCGGCTTTTAAAAAATATTTCTTTTTGATTACGCGGTGCGTGCATTGTTGATTGTCTGAATCGTCCAACTTTATAAGGGGAAGCACGTAACTTTTGTTTGTTTGTTTGTTTTAAACGAATGTCCAAAATGAGGGATGTATTAAGAAAACAATTTGACCTAATCCTGTTTTTGTCTTTTCTCGAAACAAAAAAAGGGAAACTAATGAGATAGGCCTAGGCCTAGGTAGCCTAGCATGAAAGTGCCTACCCGAAGCCAAGCAAGCTAGGGCTCATAAGGTTGTATTCTCAGACTTTGGTGAAAAGTTAGGCAATGCAATGTACGGGGATGGTGGAAGCACACTCGCAGAACCACTGATCCAACAACGTTTCTTATTGAACCGCCCAAGCTACACACGTGCGATGTAAAGCAATTCGTAACTAGGGCATCTAGTTCAATAATGACATTGATAATTAGGTCTATGCACGTGAATCCGTCACGTGACTTCAGCGAATCGTTACAATATAGAAGCATTTTAAAAAATCACGTTAACGCCTACATAGGACGCCCCCCCCCCCCCCCTGCTTTCCTAAATTTCCCTAGTGGTGTACGTGATGAAATGAACGAGTCGAGATTTGCGCTGCCAAATTAGGGCTTTATGGGCTGTATTTTGGTACACCTCAGTGGCTCATCAAGTAGGCCTTCACTGACTGTTGACCCAGACGTAGGCTTAGAATGCAGTTGCTTGAACGGGAGACTGAGATTAATATATTGATTTGTGGATACAAAGAATATAAATGTAATCAGATCCGTCTGGAGTACTCTGCAGTGACATTGTATTATATTGGATTTCAGCTTTGCTAATTTAAAAAAAATCATTAAAGCAATTTTTAACGGGGACCCCTGGGGGATACGTTTATTATCAATATTTATAATTAAAATACAGTGTATACATTTTATCTCATTACATTACATTCATAAAAGAAGATATATTTTTAATGGCTTTGCGAGCATGTTCATTTGAACATTTTTTTAAGCATGTTAAAAAAAAACAAGAAAAAAAAACAACACTACCATAAAGGTTCGTCTTAAGATTTGAACATCCAAATCTTCATCTTTGTATATAAGTGTTTTGATGTTAACATCAGATTTTGATAGGCCTAGAGTTAATGATAAATAACCAACAGGACAGAGTGTAAATGGTATGCACAAGTAGATCTCTAAAGGATTAGCTCGAAATCCTCAAGTTAAACTGATCTCAATACAGCTTGAAGTCAAGTAAAACGTGCCAACTTAACCGTCGGCCAATTCTAGTTTCTTTATGAGCCGTAAAAGAAAAATGCAGAGCAAAGTATGCAGATGAATATAGGGTTACTCATAGACATACAATATATGTCTATGGGGGTTACTAAACGCCTTTTAAAAATTCAGCAGACAAAGTCTGTTATTTATTGTTATGGTAAATTATCCAGCGATCAAATTTATTCCTTCATGTCTACTGGTTTAAATGATCTACTATCATGAATACCCGGTACAGCATGGAGCGTGTTGCCTGAATCAACCAGGAAAACCAATGACCTAGCAGAGTTTAGGCTTATCATGCACGACTTGATTAAAACATGGATACGCGTAGGATGTGATGGTCTTCTCTTTTGAAGGAGCGTCCGTAGTTTATAAGATAAGATACAGTGTTAAAGGAAAGGGGTATTGATGCTAGTGACGTTCAGATGTTTCACCAGTGATGCAACATTTGCTGGACAGAAAGTTGACACTTTGTTCAAATATTACAGGCTATTAATCTAAACGACTTAAAGATAAAGACCAGCTTAGGGTGCCTACTTGGGGCCTTAGCTGACGAAAAAGACCTAGTTGCACGTGACTTTAGAAAGAGACAGCTGGAGGTCACTCACAAAGGCCGCGGGATGCACATTTGAGACCAAAAGAAAATCTGCTGCCGAGGACAGACGGCAAGAAAATCTAAATCGACCACCTGCGGACAATGGTTATGACTGCGGTGTTTGTAACAAAATATGTAGGTCACAACTGGGGCTGCGTAGCCACGGGAAAACTGCATTCATCATTAATCTTCGGACTCGAAGACTAGCCTTATTATTAATAATCTAAAACATATCGGCTCTGGAACTCTTTAAATATGTAAAATGTTCATTCAAAAAGCGTTTTCGCTGAGCTACGCACACTCGAGGTACAGTGGACACAAGAGAAGATGACTTTCCGTTGACTAGGTGAAGGGTTGTTTTTCACAAGGTGCAAGATGTCGCTTGTTCTGAGAAATATATTTAGTATTGAAGCTTTACTGGCAGGTTTTATCAACTAAATAGGCCTACATTGAAAAAAAAACGAACTCATTTTATTTTTGTGTCTTACATATATATGTGATAATCCGGATAAATAGTTCGGTATGAACTTTGACTAGAAGTAGAAGAAACTTTGTAGAAGTGGCTGAAGCTATTGAATTTCAATAGTGATTTTTAGATTTTAAATGTCTTTCCTTTACAGATTCTTTAACAAGAGAAATACGAAGTTCAAGCTAATTGTATCAGTCATGTAATTAAATTCGTAATAGACCTAGACCAACAACAATAGATATATGCGATTAATACTATTTTTACCTCGTTTTTTATTAGCACTATTTCATGGTTTCAGCTTTTTCAATACACTATGATCCTATCACTTCTCTGGACCATGGGGGTGAGGTTGGCTGGGTGGAAGAAAGAAAGGCACATGTGGGTAAATTTTATCGGAGGCCTAATTGGTTTAAAAAAAAATGGAGGAACAACCTAAATTTGAACTCGTGGCAATGGCCTTCTTGGGCAGACGTTCAAACCACTTTGCTAGTTAGGCACTTATGACTGGAGAAAATTGTATAGTTATATAGTGTTTCTTTCAATTTAGAACGGCGACCTATAAAGAGGACTAATTCAACTTATACTACTAATTCAGTCAAGTACAATTTCTTTCCCTTGTTCGATATACCAAACAAAATAATTAATTACCAATAGTTAATCAACTAATTGGCTAATTTTTAAAATATGATTCTTGTGTTGACTGGCAAAATAAATAATTGTGCGAAATTTCAGCTTGATCCGTGATTGGTTGTCGGAGAAATGAAGAAATAACAGAAATAACATGTACCAAATGTTTACCATGCAGAGTGAGTTGATATAAGCTTTGTAAAAACAACAGCGAAAGAACAGTGCCTCCATTTTATTGTTGTATTCAGTTGTTTGGAATGATCCAGCATTGAAAACCACAAAGTGTTAGCTCATTAAAAAAATGTGCAAACATTCAAACAATATTGAGATACAATTTATGTCATAGTAAAAATGAGAAAAAAATTGTACATCACAAAATATTTTTGACTTTGAGCTCTCAAATTAATCACAAGTAATGTTAGCAAACTCTAATTATACTATAGATGTACATTTAGCGTCAAGGCCACAATTTATTTTTCTAAAACAAAGCCCATTGATCTGTTCAGATCTTGCAATAAGCTTTAACAGTCGAATCCTGTTAGACATTGTTACATGTTATTAAATTTAACTTTATTTATTTTTTTGCTAGACTTTAAACGACTTTTAATTAAAAATAAATGTAAACTAAAAAAAAAACAATAACAATAAATGCCTGAAATGTTAGTCCAATTTTACAAATTTTCACTATATTTACTAATTACTATTCTATCATTGCATTTATCACAGATATCATACACATTTAAGAGGCTAAATACTAGAAACCCTCTAGGCAGAGTGTTACTAATGAACAACTACCTACAAGACTAATCCCACCCCTTTTTTTTTTTTCAATGACTAGTCTTGTAAATACTATAACACAAAACAAACTGGTTTCAACCTTCTGTTATATGCAAATACTCAACTAGATCTGATCATTATGCAAATACTTTGATATACAGTGTTTTGGTGGACACTTCAAGCTGGTGTTCAATGTTTGTCCTTGCAAACATCCACTGAAATAAATGTTGAACTAGGTAAAGATAGGGTCATTTGAAATGTACAAATAAAAGAGGTTGAAAAGTTCTGTTTTAAACCAAACAAATCCAAGAAGTGTTTGTGAAAAGAAAAAGGAACATTTTTACTTTACTAGTTGACAAAAATCAAGTAAGATTTTACATTATTTGAGTCAGAAACATACAAATAAAAATTACATTACAACCAAAAAAAAAACAACTTCTGCAAATGTTATGACAGATTAGTACCAGTAAAGCTATATAAATATATAGAAAGTTTAAAACAAACAGCATTAGAACTAGGCCAACAGAAAAAAATTGCAGAGATGAGATGACATCTGTAAGATAAAAAGTTCCAGGATGTGTAATATTTTACTCGGTGTTAAATACCCCAAAGATCTTACTTTCATTAAAGAACAAAATAAAAGGATTTTGACAGCTAGTTCTAATGTGTTATGTTAGGAAAGTTTTATTAAAAATTGTAACGAACTCTATGTTGTGCGTGCATGAAGTTTTCTTTGAATTTAATATTGGTGTTTTAGCATATAGGAAGTATTTTCTTTTAAGTGCGTTTTGTTGTCTAGAATACTGTGTATGTTTACGTCATCCTTAGTTCCCGCAAGAGAGCTTCTTCTGTGAGCTGGGTAGCTGGTTTTTTGGTTCCCCCTTGTAAGGGGTGTTAGGCTTTGGGCAAGTGTGTCGTCTTTCCACCCTTGGAGTTGTGTAGTAACTATCGGTGTTGAGGTGTAGGGAGTTGAGGTTCTGTTGGGCGCCCAGATGGAGTGTGAGCATGAAGGTGTGTTACGGAAACTTGTAGACTAATTATTAATCAAATGCTAACTTCAATGATATTGATATATATGTAAATATGTTTGAAAATTACAATTAGGTATAATTAAATATTGTTCCTGTTGACAACTGTTGTTATTCACTAAATGTTCAGTTGAATAACTGTTATTCAATGTTTGTATTTTACATGCTATTACCTTTAGGTTCTTGTGTTACTCTGTTCAGGCTGGGGATATGGGACCATAATATCATACCCTACCTAAGCGACAAAACCCACCTGACACTCTACACAATGAAAATGTATTACCAAAATCATAGCTTAGCATTATCCCAGCAGAACACATTTTTTCTTTAAAAAAAATCATAATTTATAACTTTAAATACCAGCTTTGGTGCCAACTTGCCTTCTGAATGAGACAGCTGGAGATTCCTTACAAAGGCCCCAGGATATACATTTAAGACCAAATGAAAATCCACTACCGAGGACAGAAGCGGCAAAAAGAGAACCTAAATCAACCACTGGTGGACAAAGGTTATGTCTGTGCTAGATGTAGTAAAATATGTAGGTCACAGCTGGGACTACATAGCCATATGAAATACTGCACTCTTCATTTATCTTCAGAGTCAAATGAATGCTACACTTGTAGAACACAATGGAGCTGTGCTAAACTTCTTTCAGTGTGTGTATGTTTTTCCTAATTACAAACTGAAAAGGTGTTCTCAATACATTAGATAGCAATGATCACAACATTAAGTATGTTATTCTACAGATCTTGCTATCATGAACAGGATCAACATTCAGTGTAGGTGGAGTGAGACTAAAATTAATTATTGATACACACAAGTTGTTTAACTTATGAACACACAGTATTCCAATGACCAATACAAACTAATAAACTATAAGTCAGAAATATCTATGAATTAAAAGCATCTTAAGGTAAGAAAATTGGTAAAACTGTTTCGTAGGTACAAGCAAAATATTTTGAAAAAGAAAGTTTTTGATAGATTATAAATAAGTGACAGATGTTCAATTATTTCCACAACTATGACATCTCAAACATTTTATTTATAAAATATGTTTCTTTGCAAATATCAATAAAACATCATTGCAAGATAGTTTCCTCATCTGATTTTAATATAAAAACATTAATTTTAAAATAAATTGACTCGCTTCTTCTAGCCAGCTTTTTTTCTAGGCTCTTTTCCAGTTTATCCTGTGGAAAAATAGAGTGCTGTTTTCAGCTACACTGCATTGACCTATAGAATTATATATCTAGATTTCAGACTGGTTTGCTCAAAATAAATGGTTATTGAAACATCATTTATTAAGAATTTCAAAAATCTTAGCCAGCCAGTTTGCACATAGTTTTAGGCTTATCTTAACATTTCTTCTTGCTGTTTATAATTAACATTATTGAAGAAAGCCTACTAAAATAGAGCAACAAATCACAAAGTCTCAGAAGCTTTGCTCACTGTATAAACAACAGTAAAATTATTTCTAGTGCAAAATTTAAAATGTAGGCTACCAAGAAATACCTGTATCTTTGGTGTACAGTCAAGGTGGGTAAACTTTTTCTAATGAACTGATAAAAAAAATTATACTAGCTTAAAGATGGAAAAAAGAAGCCTCAAATATTATCAACTACAAGTTCTTTTTTTTTTCTGAAAAACAAACACAAAAACAAATGAATCATAAATGCAAAAGAAAAATGAAATAACATATTTATACAAATACAATTAAACCTTCAATATTATAAATCATTAAATTATATTGCACCCACCATTTATATTTTAAGGGCCATAATTCCTTATAAAAGTAACAGAGCCATCCAGCAAAACTCCATTACAAAAAAGCAATTCACGTCAGTTCTTTAATTAGTCAATACATCAAAGGGATAAGAAAATTTGGAGTATTAGACAAAGAAATGAAAGATCTGTATATAACATAAGCCTTGTCAGAAAAGCTTTGCCTCATTAAAAATGCTCTCCCTTGTCAGAAGTGTTTTCCTTTGAATACTGTTTGGTACCATGTAGGCTGACATTTACCACAGACAAACCTTGAGATTCTTCATGCAGTTTCTGGTTCCTGATACGTTCTTCTTCTTGCTGGAGAGCAAGAAATAACATTCTTCTTTAATATTTTAATTCAAATCATCCTTTAACTAAAGTGTGTGTGGCTGTTCATTATCAATGTTCTAAGAATGGACTCCTATCTTGGAGTGTTTAAAAAAGACAAACAAACAACTTAAATAGTATAAATGTTGAATGTATTGCCAAAAACTACAAAATCAGATGACTAGTACTGTACAAATAGTCAAAAGTAGTTGGTGGTCATGCATAATTCAAAGATTTGAATCTCTGGAGCAATCATGAATTTCATAGAAATAAATAGAAAACATTTATAATCCAAAGAGATTTTTTAAAATTCCATGTATCCAGACAGGAACTCTAAATTATGAAATGTTATTTTAAGTATTTTTTAACCAAAAGAACAATTTCTTCTATTGCTCAGTCAAATATTTATAGCAAATTGTTACACTTATAACTTGCCTCTTATGTTTACTTCACTACTCTGGGGGAAGCTACAATATTTAGCCAACTAAATGAATTCCTTTGATGGTTAATTACTAATTTAACAGCACAGCTATTCCAAAACTGGATAACAGTAAAAAAATAAAAAAAAATTTGACATTAATTAGTTAGGATATTTCACTTTAAAACATATAACAAAAAAAAAAAGTGAAATCAATTATTTATGTTTATCTAGTTCAAATTAATTCCTATAGTGCAGCTGAAAGTTACCAACAGTTTTTAAATATTGTATACGAAGATCTGTACCTGTCTTATACAGAATGAGAAGATAGGCTCAGTTTTAAAATCAATGGGAGTACCGTATAAATTTTTTTTTTACTTATCTTACATAGGTAAAGATCATTTTTTTTCAAAACCAGAAAGATAAAGAGTTAAGTCAAACTAATCAAATTGCTTTTTTAATGCCTGAAATCAAATCAAATTTAATTTTCTGAAGGGTCAAAAATTGTTTAACCTCTTTTTCCATTCGTCTATATTCATCCAGAGCATACTGATATTTGGGAGTTGTGATACCAAACAACCAAGCTAGTTTTTCTCCACAAAAGTCTGCACCTAAATTAGGAAAACAAAAATAGGCCCACTATGGCGTTTTAAAAATTATTTATTTAAAAATAATCATTATACATGTATTTAAATAATTATATTTAAAAACAAAATTAAATGTTTTTTGTTTTTTTTATGTTACAACTATATATATTCTTTAATTCTGATAAAATCTCAACATTGACATTTGAATGACACATGTATAGGACATGATAGCAAATTTTAATAATAAAAAAAAGATCCAAACAGATATTGAAAACTAATTAAAGTTGTTTTTTTTTTAATAAAAAAAAAATAATTTTCATTAAAAAAAAAAAAATTTGATTCTCACATCAATTCTTATTTTTTTTTTTCCCAATCTCACCTCTTAGAGATTTGTGAAATGCTGTAGTAAGTTGATGAACAAACCAAGGTGCCCATGCCAACTCTTTCTGAAAAATCAACATTTATGAAATTTATACACATAATCGGACAATCAAATGACAAAAATTTTAAATGTTGGAGATAAGTACAAAAAACAAAAAAAAATAGAATTCATAAACTTGAAATTTTCTCACATCCTTTCTTCTAAAAAAGTTTTTGTTCAATTTTTAAGTCTCTGTCCTAACTGAACACTCCTGAAAAAAATAAACATTTAAATAGGAACATACAATTTTTAACTTTTTTTTTTCAACAACAATAAGTAATGTTTAACCCTTTGACAACTAGAGTCGCCAGGAGTAGCCGCTACTGGTTGACAACTTGAGTCGCCATGAGTTGCCGGCAATCGCCGATTTTGGGTTGTTTCGTTAAGCATGCACTGCTAGTTTTTAAATAACCATTTATACCTTTACTAACTTTGACCTAGAAGAGTGATAGTGATGCTATTTTTAGGTGCTTATTTTGTCTCTGCAGCATGTTAGAATGGATTTTTATGATTTTTTGAAAATTACGTTGTTGTTTTTTTTGCTAGCCTAGAAAATGGAACATATTTAGGCTTATGTTTAGGCTTTAATAGAATAAGATTTTAATGGGAATATTAATGTTTAAGCTGTAGAATAAAGTTATAATGATTGGGGTAAGTTATTTAGAACCATTTAAGACCGATAGTAGTGAAAATAAATAAAAAATTGATGCTAGATCCAGTATTGATTATGTTAGATCTAGTCAATCGGGAGATTGGAAGGCAACTAAATATGACGTGATATTTTAATGTTTTTGAGCTCTGTAGGCCTATTTATGACATGATGCTTAACCCTAGGTCTATTTTTTCTATTATAAAAAGAAGGATTTTGTTAGGTTTTATTAGTTTTTTTC